TGAGTTAACAATTAAGAAAGCCTAGGGAAAGTATGGATTTGTCCGTTAAAAACAGAGTAGGGGATTTGGGAGATGGGAGAGGGAGGTATTAGGTAGATGGGGAGAATATTTTGAAGGAACTTTTAAATGTTGAGGAAGAAAGGGAGGCGGTAATTTCATGCACTGGCCAGGAAGGTATACCATCTTTTAGGGGTGAAGAAGAGCAGAATGTAAGTGTGGTGGAGGTACGTGAGGCATTACGTAGAATGAAAGGGGGGAAAACAGCTGGAACTGATGGGGGCATGACAGAAATGTTAAAAGCAGGGGGGATATAGTGTTGGAGTGGTTGGTACTTTTGTTTAATAAATGTATGAAAGAGGGGAAGGTACCTAGGGATTGGGAGAGAGCATGTATAGTCCCTTTATATAAAGGGAAAGGGGACAAAAGAGATTGTAAAAATTATAGAGGAATAAGTTTACTGAGTATACCAGGAAAAATATACGGTGGTTAAATTGAAAGAATTTGAGGTAAGACAGAATGTAGAATTGCGGGTGAGCAAGGAGGCTTCAGAGTGGTAGGGGATGTGTAGATCAAGTGTTTACATTGAAGCATATATGTGAACAGTATTTAGATAAAGGTAGGGAAGTTTTTATTGCATTATTAGAAAAGGCATTGATGAGTGGTAGAGGAGCAATGTGGCAGATGCTGCAAGTTTATGGAATGGTGGTAAGTTTATAATGTGAAAAGAGCTTTTATGAGGATAGTGAGGCTCAGGTTTTAGGGTGTGTAGAAGAGAGGGAGAATACTTCCCGGTAAAAGTAGGTCTTAGACAGGGATGTGTAATGTCCACCATGGTTGTTTAATATATTTATAGATGGGGTTGTAAAAAAAGTAAATGCTAGGGTGTTCGAGAGAGGGGGGGGATTAAATTTTGGGGAATCAAATTCAAAATGGGAATGGACACAGTTACTTTTTGCTGATGATATGTGCTTATGGGAGATTCTAAAGAAAAATTGCAAAGGTTAGTGGATGAGTTTGAGAATGTGTGTAAAGGTAGAAAGTTGAAAGTGAACATAGAAAAGAGTAAGGTGATGAGGGTATCAAATGATTTAGATAAAGAAAAAATTGGATATCAAATTGGGGAGGAGGAGTATGGAAGAAGTGAATGTTTTCAGATACTTGGGAGTTGACGTGTTGGCGGATGGATTTATGAAGGATGAGGTTAATCATAGAATTGATGAGGGAAAAAAGGTGAGTGGTGCGTTGAGGTATATGTGGAGTCAAAAAACGTTATCTATGGAGGCAAAGAAGGGAATGTATGAAAGTATAGTAGTACCAACACTCTTATATGGATGTGAAGCTTGGGTGGTAAATGCAGCAGCGAGGAGACGGTTGGAGGCAGTGGAGATGTCCTGTCTAAGGGCAATGTGTGGTGTAAATATTATGCAGAAAATTCGGAGTGTGGAAATTAGGAGAAGGTGTGGAGTTAATAAAAGCATTAGTCAAGGGCAGAAGAGGGGTTGTTGAGGTGGTTTGGTCATTTAGGAGAGAATGGATCAAAGTAGAATGACATGGAAAGCATATAAATCTATAGGGGAAGGAGAAAGAGAGGTAGGGGTCGTCCTCGAAAGGGTTGGAAAGACGGGGTAAAGGAGGTTTTGTGGCGAGGGCTTGGACTTCCAGCAAGCGTGCATGAGCGTGTTAGATAGGAGTGAATGGAGACGAATGATACTTGGGACCTGACGATCTGTTGGAGTGTGAGCAGGGTAATATTAGTGAAGGGATTCAGGGAAACCGGTTATTTTCATATAGTCGGACTTGAGTCCTGGAAATGGGAAGTACAATGCCTGCACTTTAAAGGAGGGGTTTGGGATATTGGCAGTTTGGAGGGATATGTTGTGTATCTTTATACGTATATGCTTCTAAACTGTTGTATTCTGAGCACCTCTGCAAAAGCAGTGATAATGTGTGAGTGTGGTGAAAGTGTTGAATGATGATGAAAGTATTTTCTTTTTGGGGATTTTCTTTCTTTTTTTTGGGTCACCCTGCCTCGGTGGGAGACGACCGACTTGTTGAAAAAAAAAAAAAAAAAAAAAAGGTTAACCATGGAATTGATGAAGAAAAAAAGGTGAGTGGTGCATTGAGGTATATGTGGAGACAAAAAAAAAGTTATCTATGGAGACAAAAAAGGGAATGTATGAAAGCATAGTGGTACCAAAACTCTTATATGGGCGTATATGGGCATGAAGCTTGGATTGTAAGTGCTGCAGCGAGGAGGTGGCTGGAGTCAGTGTAGATATCCAGTCTAAGGGCAACGTGTGGTGTAAATATTATGCAGAAAATTCAGTGTGTGGAAATTAGGAGGTGTGGAGTTACTAAAAGTATTAGTCAGAGGGCTGAAGAAGGGTTGTTGAGGTGGTTTGATCATTTAGAGAGAATAGATCAAAGAAGAATGACTTGGAGATCATATAAATCTGTAGGGAAAGGAAGGGTAAGGGTCATCCTCGAAAAGGTTGGAGGGAGGGGGTAAAGGAGGTTTTGTGGGCGAGGGGCTAGGACTTCAAGCAAGCATGTGTGAGCGTGTTAGATAGGAGTAAATGGAGACGAATTGTTTTTCAGACCTGACAAGCTGTTGGAGTGTGAGCAGGGTAATATATAGTGAAGGGATTCAGAGAAACCGGTTACTATAGATTTAGCTGGATTGAGTACTGGAAATGGGAAGTACAATGCCTGCATTTTATCCCTTAAGTTGTCCAAATGTAGATTTACGTTCACTTGCGTAGCACTCCGAACGTAGATCTATGTTCGATTTTACATGCTTTCTTGTGTAAAAAAATCGTAGATCTACGTTAGGACAGTTTAAGCGTTAAAGGAGGGGTCTGGGATATTGACAGTGATTATGCATGAGTAAGGTGAAAATGTTGAATGATGATGAAAGTATTTTCTTTTTGGGGATTTTCTTTCTTTTTGGGTCACCCTGCCTCGGTGGGAGTGGCCGACTTGTTTAAAAAAAAAAAAAAAAAACACTTTACATTGTGTACAAGATGTTTCCATGTTGATACAGCAGAATAAATAAAGAGTAACACTCCAATTCTCATGTAATGCCATTTTTAGAAGAAATGATGCTCTGGGTGAAGGCACACAAGAAGAATTTTCTACAGTTACCCCCAGTAATACTATAGTGTACACATTTTCTCTGATGATAGACTAGAGAAAACACAATTCTTGCCATTACTCCTACAGGTCGTCTAACTACCACATCTCATATTTATGTTAATTTATTCTACTGTGGGATGTATTTATCATGTTTATATGTTAGGTAGCATGTTTATTACATAATTTTGAAAAAATATCATAGACTGATTAAGGGAAATGTGTATATTAACGTAATATACGACATTTAATGTGCCTCAAGTTCTTATTATTATCATCATTATTAATATAGCATCTCGAGACATAAGACACTCTTACTGATTTTAATGTCTATCTGCAAACCAGCACAGTATGGAAGTCTACCTAGGTACAGGTACACATAAGTATAATTATCAGAGTATATATAAAATATGAACCTAGGTAGTAGGTTGGTAGACAGCAACCACCCAGGGAGGTACTACCGTCCTGCCAAGTGAGTGTAAAACGAAAGCCTGTAACTGTTTTACGTGATGGTAGGATTGCTGGTGTCCTTTTTTCTGTCTCATGAACATGCAAGATTTCAGGTACGTCTTGCTACTTCTACTTACACTTAGGTCACACTACACATACATGTACAAGCATATATATAAGCACACCCCTCTGGGTTTTCTGCTATTTTCTTTCTAGTTCTTGTTCTTGTTTATTTCCTCTTATCTCCATGGGGAAGTGGAACAGAATTCTTCCTCCGTAAGCCATGTGTGTTGTAAGAGGCGACTAAAATGCCGGGAGCAAGGGGCTAGTAACCTCTCTCTGTATATATTACTAAATGTAAAAGGAGAAACTTTCGTTTTTCCTTTTAGCCACCCCGCCTCGGTAGGATACGGCCGGTGTGTTGAAAGAAAGAAAGATATATATAAAATATGAAATAACTTTAAAGCACTTGACATTCTGGAAAGTTTCCAGACATAATGGAGAGACGCAGAGCTCATGGAGAATGTAAACAAACCGGGTGGGGCGTGGTAACCATATTAGAAAGTCAAGTGGGAGGAGCCTTATAGCAAGTTTTGGTCATAATTTGAAATGTCCATACTAGAGGAACACTGGAAAGTGAAACGTCGTAAAGCGAGACCCTACTATAATTGCAATAAAAAATCACAATATACTTAAGAGCTTTATTAGATAAGTGACTTTGAAAAAATAGCTATTTAATAAACTTAGCTGGGTAATTTGGTGCTTTTTAAATTTTCTGTTAACCCAGGTGAGGAAAGTGGGTAATCCACTCCTTGTCTATCCTGCTGAAAACCATTAATCCTTATATTCTTCTGACAGTATATGACAATATAATTTGGTGCATGGCCAGGTTGCATGAGCATCCAATGCAAAAAGATCATATCTTCAACAATGACAAGTCGGATTTAAATGAAATTTTAACTATTTGACAGAAATGGATTCCAGCACTTGGGCTTTATGAAGGAGTTGAGAACACCTATAGGCCCCACTGATGGGGTTCTTAACTATGTAGGAAGATTTTAATCTCCAGCATTAGTGCCTAATTTACTAACCTCATAAAGTGAAAGTGTTGAATGATGATGAAAGTATTTTCTTTTTGGGGATTTTCTTTCTTTTTTGGGTCACCCTGCCTTGGTGGGAGACGGCCGACTTGTTGAAAAAAAAAAAAAAAAAAAAAAAAAAAAAAAAAAATCACAATACCATGCCTGGAATAATTCACAAAATAACCCATACTTAAGAAAGGAACCTTATGATGATGTTTTGGTCTGTCCTGGAGACCAGTAACAAGCTGTATGTTCTAGGGTGGACGACAATGTCATGAGGGTCTCCTACATGAGGGTTATTTGTGAGCTATTGACTCTATGAAAGAAAAATCATACCTTGGGCTCTGGGGGTGGTTCAAGTCCTAAACGAATCTTTTCCTGTTTTTCCTTCCAAGTTTCTCGTCTGTTCATGCGGCGTAGCTTCTTCCTCTCCTGCTTTGTGAGGAGGACTTCAAGTGTCACAGGTTTCAAGGGATCCGATGGGCATCTCATTTCTAAAGGATGCTCTATTAACCTTGTTATATAGTCGTCCTTCACCTTCACTGCTTCACCCTCTTCTGGGTATCTGTCAACATTTAAAAGAGGAATAGGTCTTTACTTTTCAAGCAAATTACTATCAGTGAGTCAATAGGTCACAGGAGAACTCAAAATACTTCTGGATCATCACTGAGGGAGAAGTGTTACATATTCTGAACAAACTTTATCTGAAATAACAAAAAAGGCACAATACCGTGACTGGAACGATACACAAATAAGCACAAAGAAGAGAGGAGCTTGTGACGACGTTTCAGTCCGACTTGGACCATTTACAAAGTCACACTAACCAGATGTGGAGCAGGACAGGTATATAGAGGGAGGGAGGGAGGGAGGGAGGGGAGGGAGGGAGGGAGGGGAGGGGAGGGGAGGGAGGGGAGGGAGGGAGGGGAGGGAGGGGAGGGAGGGGAGGGAGGGAGGGAGGGAGGGAGGGAGGGGAGGGAGGGGAGGGAGGGAGGGAGGGAGGGAGGGAGGGAGGGAGGGGAGGGAGGGAGGAGGGAGGGAGGGGAGGGAGGGAGGGAGGGAGGGAGGGAGGGAGGGAGGGAGGGGAGGGGGGGGAGGGAGGGAGGGGGGGGGAGGAGGGGAGGGAGGGGAGGGAGGGGAGGGAGGGGAGGGAGGGAGGGGAGGGGAGGGAGGGGAGGGAGGGGAGGAGGGGAGGGAGGGAGGGGAGGGAGGGAGGGAGGGAGGCGTGACTTTGTAAATGGTCCAAGCCGGACCGAAACGTCGTCATAAGCTCCTCTCTTCTATGTGCGGGTTATTTGTGTACAGTGGACCCTCGACATTCGATACTAATCCGTTCCTGAGAGCTATCGAATGTCGAAAATATCGAAAGTCAAATTAATTTTCCCCATAAGAAATAACGGAAATCAAATTAATCCGTGCAAGACACGCAAAAGTATGGAAAAAAAATTTACCACATGAAATATTAAGTTTAATGCAATAGAATAATTACAATAACAACAATAACAATAGATTAATAACAATAGAATAATTGACACTTACCTTTAATAAAGATCTGGTGATGACTGATGGGATGGGAGGAGGGGAGAGTGTGGATGGTGTTAGTGTTTAGAAGGGGAATCCCCTTCCATTAGGACTTGAACTGGCAGCCTCACCATGCCTTACCACACTGTGTATGCCACTACGATTCTTAAATCTTTCAAACCAACCTTTGTTGGCCTTAAATTCACTCACATCACCACTAGTTGCAGGCAATTTCTTTACCAAATCATTATGCACTCCGACACACGCACTCCACTTTCGTACTTTGCAATTATCTCTTTCATTTCAATAGTCATTAGCATCATGGTTACTTATTTTGCAGAAACAAACACCAAAAACAGTGATAATATGGATAATATGGAATGTACCGAATGTATCCTTAGATGCGCGCACACTGGCTGGCTTGTAAACACTGGCACACATGGTGCAGTTCAGGCCACACATGGACATGTCTCGTACGAATCATATCGAATGTCGGGTTTTCCATCGAACGTTGAGGCAAAATTTTTGCGTTAAAATGCATCGAATGTCGGATTTATCGAATGTCGATGCCATCGAATGTCGGGGGTCCACTGTATTTATCTGAAATTTAAACAGGGCACTCAAATGTGCAGTTTTATTATTAGTTTTACTTCTATTTAAAGCTAAAAAAATTTTTGTATAACTGGGGACTTTTCCATTTAAAAAATTAATAAACTTTTAATCTAACTTTGCAGCACTAATGTCCTTCCTTGAAAATAAAAATGATACCAATATCATTATTATTAATTATTGTTGTTTTTATTATTATCTGGTTTAAGCAAGTTTACATAACAGAACTCTCCAAATAGAATTGTCATGAAAACGCAACTAGCTCAAAAATATCTGAGATAGTACCGTAAATCCTGAGCTTGTAAATGTGTCGCTTCGTAAACACTCAATTCCAGACTCTCCACTATATGTAGGCAACTTTGACCTTGATGAGAGGTCTGAAAGGAAAAAAGTGTGCCATGCTATTTAGTTTTCCCACTTCCCAGCCACTATGTGAACATAATTTACCTGGTCGTTGTCTTCTTCTTTCAACAAACCGGCCATATCCCGCCAAGGCAGGGTGGCCCAAAAGGAAAAACGAAATTTTCTTCTTTTTAAATTTAGTAATATATACAGGAGAAGGGGTTACTAGCCCCTTGCTCCCAGCATATTAGTCACCTCTCACGACATGCATAGCTTACAGGGGAAGAATTCTGTTCCACTTCCCCATGGAGATAAGAGGAAATAAACAAGAAACAAGAACTAGTAAGAAAACAGAAGAAAACCAAGAGGGGTGTGTATATATATGCTTGTACATGCATGTGGAGTGTGACCTAATTGCAAGTAGAGGTAGCAAGATGTACCTGAAATCTTGCATTCTTTCTTTCTTTCAACAAACCGGCCGTATCCCACCGAGGCAGGGTGGCCCAAAAAGAAAAACAAAAGTTTCTCTTTTAACCCTTTCAGGGTTTCGGCCATACTAGTACGGCTTACGCGCCAGGGTCCTTGACGTACTAGTCTGCATAAATTCTAGCGCCCTCAAATCTAGTGAGAGAAAGCTGGTAGGCCTACATATGAAAGAATGGGTCTATGTGGTCAGTGTGCGCAGTATAAAAAAAAATACTGCAGCATACAGTGTGTAATGAGAAAAAAAAAAAAACTGTGTTTTTGGATTAAAACAGCGAATTTGCACTGTATTTACGTATGGTATTTATTGCTGTATTCTAGTTTTCCTAGTCTCATTTTATAGAATGAAAGACATATTACAGAAATTGAGATGATTTTGACTGGTTTTACAATGAAAAGTACCTTGAAATTGGGCTCAAAGTAGCAGAAATGTTCGATTTTTACCAAAGTTCAAAAGTAAACAAATCATGCTAAGAGTCCAATACACGTCAACTGGTGAGTCTAATATTCTTTCACAAGTGCTCTGATATTATTTATACAATTTCTACACTAATGCAGTACTCTACATAACAGTAAATCTTCTATTTTTTTGTGAGAATAAAAATTCAAAGTGGAAAGCAAAAGAATGTAAGAGGGGCGTGGGGACATGACTAATGAACAGAGGAAATGTTATTTTAGTGCCAGGAATGTCTTTCTTGTTTATTCTGGACCCTATTTGGAAATTGGCATCTTTTGAAATTTGTGTGAAATTGGCAAAATTGCTAAATTCTGGCCACTGTATTGGATAGTTGAAATCGGTAAATGGGTGGTTTCTTATACTCATTCGATAGTAAAAATGGAGTTCTAGCGAAATAGTTATGATTTTTGTCGACTAGTACATTGGAATTGGCCAAAAATAGGGCTCAAAGTGGGCAAAATCGCCGATGCGTAAACATCATCGAGACCGCTATCTTCGCGAGAGCATAATTCCGTAAGTTTTCCTTCAAATTTCATACTTTTGGTGTCATTATGATCGGGAAAAGATTCTCTATCTTTTCATAAGAAAAAACTATTTTTTTTTTTTTTAAATTTGGGGACCCTGAGAACATGTCTGGGAGAGGGCCTGTGGACCCTGAAAGTGTTAAATTTAGTAATTTATACAGGAGAAGGGGTTACTAGCCCCTTGCTCTGACATTTTAGCTGCCTCTTACAACACACATGGCTTACGGAGGAAGAATTCTGTTCCACTTCCCCTTGGAGATAACAGGAAATAAACAAGAACTACTAAGCAAATAAAAGAAAACCCAGAGGGGTGTGTATATATATATATGATTGCACATGTATGTGTAGTGTGACCTAAGTATAAGAAGAAGAAGCAAGACATACCTGAAATCTTGCACATTTCTTTCTTTCAACACACCGGCTGTATCCCACCGAGGTGGGGTGGCCCAAAAGGAAAAGCGAAAGTTTCTCATTTTACATTTAGTAATATATACAGGAGAAGGGGTTACTAGCCCCTTGCTTCCGGCATTTTAGTGGCCTCTTACGACACACATGGCTTATGGAGGAAGAATTCTGTTCCACTTCCCCATGGAGATAAGAGGAAATAAACAAGAACAAAAACTAGAAAGAAAATAGAAGAAAACCCAGAGGGGTATGTATGTATATATATGCTTGTATATGCATGTGTAGTGTGACCTAAGTGTAAGAAGAAGTAGCAAGACGTACCTGAAATCTTGCATGTTTATGAGACAGAAAAAAGACACCAGCAATCCTACCATCATGTAAAACAATTACAGGTTTCCGTTTTACACTCACTTGGCAGGACGGTAGTACCTCCCTGGGCGGTTGCTGTCTACTAACCTACTACCTAGAATTTACCTGGTATACCTGGAAAATTCTGGAGGCACCAAGTCAACTTCTGCATGCTGAAATTACTCCTTATGAGAATGAGCGGCTCAGCAAATGGTACAAAATGCTCCCAATTAAAACCAGGGATAACTCAGTGAGTGTAAATGGACCAATGTAAATGGACTACCCTCCCTTCACATATAAGGAAAATTACCAATAGGCCTCCTTAGTTATCTTCAAGAGAGAGCTTGGCAAGTTCTTTAAATCAGTTCCTTATTATAGCCAATATGTGATGATTATGTTGGTTGTGGGTTGCAAGTAGTAACAGCCTGATTGATAAGGTCACTGACCATGAGCCCTGATCTAAAGCCAAACAGCTGGGGCAATGACCTCCAGGAGCAACAACAGGTAGGTAGGTCATGTCCTTCTCAACACTAAATGTTTTTCCTTCAATAACAATAATATGGGTATCCCTCACTTTATGCAAATGTGCTGTGACACCCCATTTCTAACAGTAATTCTAAACGAGCAATACATAATCACTATATGTGATAGATACAGTCTGCAAAACTTATTAAAAATGCTTATTATGCAGAACTAAGCATTAAAAATATGATTAAACTTAATACAGTTACTGTGGGCCTTGAATAAATCTGCCACATACAGTGACATACACCTGTACAGTAACTGATACAGTATGTACTATACTGTACACTGGTATACAATATATATTCTATATTCCTACACTTTAGTGACATGTGTTGATATAACATATGAGCAGAAAGACAATTATTCTAATGTCTGAATGAGAGAGAGCCAAATCAATAACATATGAACATAAGGGTGCATCATACGCCTCAAGATTGAGCAACTGGATTAACCCAAGGCTTAAAATGTTCTACTTGCTCTCATTATTGATCATGCCAATTATTTTTAAATTCCAAATTGACTTAGGAGATTCACCTCAAATAATAAAGTTACCGAAAATGACATGCAATTGCAAGCAATTATAAAAATTAACACTGTATTTTGAAATATTTTCCAAATAGTTACTTAATCACTAATTTTGTACTTATTTATATTCACTTCTGAGAAGTGTATATCAAGAACAGATTAACTAATCAATGATAGAATGTTAAATTTGTTGGATGAAACACAGTGAGTACTAATTTTTACCATTCATCTTAATAATCTTTTACATATTTTTAATAAGCATAATTCCAAATCTTTTGTTTTTTTTAATACCTTAAATTGTCCCAAAAGAAATCTAGTTCACGTGCGTATCGCTCCGACTTCTCCATTTGAAAGGATGTAAAAAAAAAAATGTAAGATCCTTTCGAGCGCTACGCATGTCAACGTACATCTATTTTGGACATTTAAGGTAATGGTGTATCTTAACCCTTTCCTTTACTTTGCAATCCCTGCCACAAACTTGAAGAATTTAAAAAAAAAAAAAAATTCTTATGAAATGATAAGAGAATCTTTTTCCAAAGGTAATGAAACCAAAAGTATGAAATTTGATGCAAACTACGAATTCTCACTCGCAAGTTACAGTCTCAGTGATATTCATGCATTGGCGATTTTGCCCATTTTGAGTCCTATTTTATGCCAATTCCATTGTTCCAGGCGACCAAACTCATAGCTATTTTACTAGTATGCCTTCCATTCTATTGATTCAGTACAAGAAACCACCCATTAACCTATTTCAACTACCCAATAAAGTGATCAGAAATTGGTAATTTGGCCAATTTTACACAAAATAAAAAAATTGCCAATTTAAAAATAGGGTCCAGAATAAACAATGTAGACATTCCTGGCACTAAAACACATTTCCTCTGTACACCAGTTATGTCCCCAGGCCTCTCCTATATTACACTTGCTTTCCATTTTGAATTTTATTCACACAAAAAAACAGAAGATTTACTGTTATGCAGACCACTGCATTATTGTAATAATTGTATAAATAATGTCACTGCATTTGTGAATGCATATTAGACTGACCAGTTGAACGTAATTTGTGACCTCTAGAAAAACAGGCAAAAACCGAGCATTTCCGCTACTTTGAGCTCAATTTCAAGCTACTTCCAGTCCCGCAACCAATCAAAATCATCTCTATTTCTATATTATATCTTCCATTCTATCAAATGATATCAAGAAACCAAGAAAACAGCCAAAAAACCATCCAAAAAATACACTGCAGAGTTGCTATTTTAAACCAAATAGTTTTTTCCCCCATCATGCACTGTGTAAGACAGGAATTTTTTCTTCTATGGTGCACAATCATCGCATGGACCCATTCTCTCATATCTAGGCCCACATTTACTGCTCACTGCTCATCTGAGTGAGCCAAATGCATCACATAGTATGTATTACTAAATGGACCTCGAAAGGGTTAATGTACATCTACCCTTTAGCAACTTCATATTTTCTTGTAACATTAACATCACCAAAACAAAATATTTTAAAGGTCAATACAAAATTTGTTCCAACCTATTTCCCTGAAGAATAATAGCATCCCACCACTCGACATCTGGAGACTCATCAATAATGGTTTTCATTTCCCGCTGCTCCAACTGCGCCAATTTAGCTGCTGATGAAATTCCGGTTTTCTTTGCAACTTGAGAAATCTCGTTCTGAAGCTTCTCTAACCGAGCCTGTCGAATAGAAAACAAATTACGACTCAAGAAAAATATTTATCAATTGTTTTGACCGAACTTCCATTTCTTTACCAAAGAGATGAATTTCTAATTTCTGATAATTTCCTCCTACTGATGACATTTTTTATGTACCAAAACCGCATTTAAAAATAATAAATACGTTGCAGAACATTGTTAAATTTAAAAAATATAATATAGGATCACCAAACTCGATTTATCTTCATTACAGTATTACTGTATATTAACTTTCCCTTGTGTAATCCATGCACAGTGTTGGTAATAAACTGGTTAGTATGAGCTGTAAAGCCATTACAAGTTTCCCCTCACTATATGAGGTTAACTTCATGTAAATTTGCTTACAAGCAGATCCCATTTCTACTAGTAATTCACTATTTGCAGCATGAACTTACTCTTATGTGGTCACTCAAACCTAGCACTATTTTGTTTTTGACAACTTCTCCTTAACCATCACTCTAAAGTGGTTTACATTGGCATTTATAATAAAGAAATCAGAGAGAAAAAACTAATTAGGACCTGGGAAACCCAATGAGCATATTTTGAATAGTTGGCTGGTTTTCAATTTAAGTCCTACATAACTTAAAAGAAAATGGACACACCTCAGCTGGCACCAACACAGTCAGGACGAGGGGGTTAGGAAGAGAGGCAAGGAGATAAATGTATTCACAGGTTCATTAGCCAACCAAGACAGGCTGGTTGGTTGATGGTGAATGGAGAGGGGAGGATAAGAAAGGCAGATTATGACCGAATTATGAACCAAATTCATTTCTTTTCAGTATATAGCCACTTGGTGCATATGTGGTATACAGAACTTATAATTTTAAGGTACAAACAGTCAAAAAAGGTGGAATTTTTTTTCACCAATTCTGATACTATACTGTGTTAATTACATAAGGAGCATGATTGAATTTTGGAGTTTTTTAAGTTTTTGAACCTGATTAATTTTATTTTGTATATGGCCATTTGTTGTCTATGTGGAATGCTCATAATTTTTTGGAGGTAAAAATAAGTTGTGAATTTTCCTGAAATAGGTATGTTCACAAAAACGCACTGAAATGCATGTATCTACAAGTGCGGATGCAAAAACTTGAATAATGCCTATGTACGACACTGGAACACCACCAGCCACATGATGATATGGAACACCCACTTACTGATCATAGTTCCAAACTCTCATACAAAAATGCCCTGAAGCATCATTAATCCCCATTGCAGACACAATTACAGAGAACATAAGCAGCTTCATATCTCTGAAATACTAGCATGAATCTTTAAAATAACAAACTAGCCCTGCTGTCACCAAACAACAAATCATTTCTATTACTACTAGCATGGGTCAGCAGACCTACTGCAGTGCTTACATTCTTCCTGCATCTCACCATGTTTCATTTTTATACCCATTGTGTGCTTGTGTTGGCTTGGTAAAGCTACTGGGTAAAACATACCTGTAATAAGTATAAAGAATAAAGACACAGTATCGTGACAATACAGTTATAAGTTTCATTCTCCTATGTGTGGTTTATTTGTGTACTTATTAGTTACTCTTGTGCCCTTTTACCTAACTTGATTGTATAAAGTTTAAAAGACTGATGAGTTGCAACACTTGGGTATCTCTTCTAGAAATGCTTTTCCACTGGCTGGCAAAATGTTTCCTGAATAAAGCTACCCAAGTATTGCACAAGTGTCTTATTTATCAACCTTTTACCTAACACTGACTAAATATAATCCTGCATGTCACAGCTAAATGTATGAAAATCTCAAATGCTGAGATGGCCAGATATTGCAGTATTTTTTTTTTTTTTTATTATCACACCGGCCGATTCCCACCAAGGCAGGGTGGCCCGAAAAAGAAAAACTTTCACCATCATTCACTCCATCACTGTCTTGCCAGAAGGGTGCTTTACACTACAGTTTTTAAACTGCAACATTAACACCCCTCCTTCAGAGTGCAGGCACTGTACTTCCCATCTCCAGGACTCAAGTCCGGCCTGCCGGTTTCCCTGAACCCCTTCATAAATGTTACTTTGCTCACACTCCAACAGCACGTCAAGTATTAAAAACCATTTGTCTCCATTCACTCCTATCAAACACGCTCACGCATGCCTGCTGGAAGTCCAAGCCCCTCGCACACAAAACCTCCTTTACCCCTCCCTCCAACCCTTCCTAGGCCGACCCTACCCCGCCTTCCTTCCACTACAGACTGATACACTCTTGAAGTCATTCTGTTTCGCTCCATTCTCTCTACATGTCCGAACCACCTCAACAACCCTTCCTCAGCCCTCTGGACAACAGTTTTGGTAATCCCGCACCTCCTCCTAACTTCCAAACTACGAATTCTCTGCATTATATTCACACCACACATTGCCCTCAGACATGACATCTCCACTGCCTCCACTGAGGTAGGGTGACCCAAAAACAAATAAACACTCACCATCACTCAATCTATCACTGTCTTGCCAGAGATGTGGCAACATTACAGCTCAGATGACCCTCCACAATTTGAGGGACAGGTGATGGACAATAAAGTTAACTTATACCACTCCATCCCCTTAAGATGTAATCTGATAGTTCCACTACTACTACTACTACTACTGCTACACAATTCTAATTTTTTTTTTTAACAAATACACAAGTGAGATCTAAGCTGTCATATCTGAGTGCCTCTGCAGACAGTGATTATGTATGAGTGGTGGTGAAAGTGTTGAATTATGATAGAAAATTTTTCTTTCTTTTTGGGTCACCCTGCCTCAGTGGGTAACAGCCAATGTGTTAAAAAAGAAAAATGAGTAGGAATGGTTGAACTTGCTTGGCATAGGCCAAAAGGCCTACTGCAATGCTCCTGTTTTTATGGAGGAAAGCAACAGTTTGTCAAGAGTTGTATATATGTGGGGATGGCTGGAAAGTAGGTCATCCCAGCATTTAATGTTAACAAAGAAGCCACTGTACTCATAAAATACACACTGTTGCAGAATAAATCACTTAGACAATGTTTCACTCAGAGATAAAGTTTTTTAAGTCATTAGAGAGTACACAGAATGCATAGGTAAATACTGCATAATTGTCAGACAAGGCGATAAGGAGACGTGAGGAATGAACTTGACTATAGGTACACTGTACTCCTCACTTAACGACCTACCTGTTTAACGACCACTCGGACTTACAACCAGCTCTCTGACCAGTATACAAATCTAAGTAATGTATATTAGAGCTGATTTCCTCTATTCTGTTCATTACAGTATACAGTAGACTACTGTATAAACAATTAAAAATATACTAAAAATTTTATAAATGGTGCAGAGGTGACAGTAAAACAATATCTAAAGATGGTTTACACAAATGCACTACCAGTACAGTAAGCTCCTTGCTTGACGATCAATTTGCATACCGACATAGGTACCATCTGACTTACAACCGAGTTCGGTTCCGAGAAACCAGTCGTAAGTCGAAATGGACATAAGTCGAACCTTACTACTGAATGTCAACATCACATTTCTGTAATGACTTTATTTTATTGTTTTATTTTGATATTTCATTTTTTACTTCACTTTTAATACTGTTAGTACTGTATTTTATACTGTAAGGTTTATGATGAACACTGTGTACAACACAAACGGTTGTTTATTTCCCATAAGTCGAATGGTCGTATGTCGAGCAGGTTATAAGTCAGATGGTAGGTGTACTCTTAGGAACGAAACTCGGTCGTTAAGTGAGGAGTACTTTTATGTCAAGTTAGGAGGATGGTGTATGCTGAGGAACATGTGAGCCCATGGGGTCCCAACAACTGGAAATTTCCCTGGTTCTGGATGATTATGTATGTAGCTTGAATAAGAGCTAATTCAAAGCATTTTCCTCTGGCTGAAAGCAGGTAGTATATTACACCATCAAGCTGAGGATAAGATAAATACAAACACTTAGGATATTATTCATGAGGAAGCACTTAAGTTCTAGGATCATAGAGAAGATCAAGGTAATAGGAGAGAAACATTTCCTCATTAAAAATGTCTTAGGTGTTTGCATGTGTTTTCTTGTCTCTATATTCCTGGGATAACCTATGTTTTGCAAAGCCAAGTTACAATGTAAAACACAGGCATTATTGATAAAATAGGCATATTTACATGCATATATACATATGAATGAATCCCTTCTAATCTCACTCACACATAACCTTATCACAGCTAGTACAAGGAATGGTACAGAAACCTGCACTTTCCTCAGGGCTGGCATTAACCCTCATAGATGTATTATATGATGTCTTTGTGGAAAGCATAAGTATATACACCAAGATTTATCCACCATTTATTTGCACCACGTGGAAGGTGTGAAATTTGAAAAGTGATTTGATCTGGGACTAGACTAGAAAGAAAAGTTATCCCCATTTTTTTTTTTTTTGTGACTACATACCATGAGTACTGTACTTTCTTACCTTTGCTCTTTCCCTCTGAGCAAGCTGAATGAACTTGCCCTGGTCATGGAACCGGAAAGGTCTCTTGATTCTGATCGATGGACGCACACTGACACGTGGATCGAAGAAGTTACTTTCAGCAGTGTCCTCAATGGGCTTTTCTTGCAACTGCTGCTTAAACTCTTCTCGTTTCTTAGCTCTAATGTTGGCCTGGTGAAAAACAGAGTTGACAAATGCTGTAGATGTTTCAATTATCTTTAATACAAAATATATGAAATACCTATAAAACATATAGGTAGTAGGTTGGTAGGCAGCAACCACCCAGGGAGGTACTACCGTCCTGCCACATGAGTGTACAGCGAAAACCTGTAATTGTTTTACATGATGGTAGGATTGCTGGTGTCTTTTGTCTGTCTCATAAACATGCAAGATTTCAGGTATGTCTTGCTACTTCTACTTGCACTTAGGTCACACTACACATACATGTACAAGCATATATATACACACCTCTCTGGGTATTCTTCTATTTTCTTTCTAGTTCTTGTTCTTGTTTATTTCCTCTTATCTCCATGGGGAAGTGGAACAGAATTCTTCCTCCGTAAGCCATGCGTGTTGTAGGAGGCAACTAAAATGCCGGGAGCAAGGGGCTAGTAACCTCTTCTCCTGTATATATTACTAAATGTGAAAGAAGAAACTTTCATTTTTCCTTATGGGCCACCCCGCCTCGGTGGGATACGGCCGGTGTGTTGAAAGAAAGAAGAAAAGAGAAACTTTCGTTTTTCTTTTTGAGCCACCCTGCCTCGGTGGGATACGGCCAGTGTGTTGAAAGAAGAAAGACCTATAAAACAAAATGAAAGGGGGTAAAGCAGCTGGAACTGATGGGATCATGACAGAAATATTACAAGCAGGGGGAAATACAGTATTGGAGTGGTTGGTATGAAAGACGGGAAGGTGCCTAGGGACTGGCAGAGAGCATGTATAGTTCCTTTATATAAAGGGAAGGGGGACAAAAGAAGTTGTGAAAATTATAGAGGAAGAAGTTTACTGAGTTCTCCATGGGGAAGTGGAACAGAATTCTTCCTCCATAAGACATGCATGTCATAAGAGGCAACTAAAATGCTGGGAGCAAGGGGCTAGTAACCCCTTCACCTGTGTATATTACTAGATGTGAAAGGAGAAACTTTTGTTTTCCTTTTGGGCCACCCTCCCTCAGTGGGATGCACCCAGTGTGTTGAAAGTTACTGAGTATACCAAGTAAAGTGTATGGTAGGGTTATTATTGAAAGAATTAGAGGTAAGACAGACAGCAGGATTGCAGATGAGCAAGGAGGCTTTAGAATAGGTAGGGGATGTGTAGATCAAGTGTTTAGTTTGAAGCATATATGTGAACAGTATTTAGATAAAGATAGAGAAGTTTTCATTGCATTTATGGATTTATGGAGGCAAAGAAGGGAATGTATGAAAGTATAGTAATACCAACACTCTTATATGGGTGTGAAGCTTGGGTTGTAAATGCTGCAGCGAGGAGGCGGTTGGAGGCAGTGGAGATGTCCTGTCTAAGGGCAATGTGTGGTGTAAATATTATGCAGAAAATTCGGAGTGTGGAATTAGGAGAAGGTGTGGAGTTAATAAAAGTATTAGTCAGAGGGCTGAAGAGGGTTTGTTGAGGTGGTTTGGTCATTTAGAGAGAATGGATCAAAGTAGAATGACATGGAGAGCGTATAAATCTGTAGGGGAAGGAAGGCGGGGTAGGGGTCGTCCTCGAAAAGGTTGGAGGGAGGGGTAAAGGTGGTGTTGTGGGCGAGGGGTTTGGACTTCCAGCAAGCGTGCGTGAGCATGTTAGATAGGAGTGAATAGAGACAAACGGTATTTGGGACCTGACAAGCTACTGGAGTGTGAGCAGGGTAATATTTAGTGAAGGGATTCAGGGAAACCTGTTATTTTATATAACCGGACTTGAGTCCTGGAAATGGGAAGTACAATGCCTGCACTTTAAAGGAGGGGTTTGGGATATTGGCAGTTTGGAGGGGTATATTGTGTATTTTTATACGTATATACTTCTAAACAGTTGTATTCTGGGCACCTCTGCAAAAACAGTGATTATGTGTAAGTGAGGTGAAAGTATTGAATGATGATGAAAGTATTTTCTTTTGGGGGATTTTTCTTTCTTTTTGGGTCACCCTGCCTCGGTGGGAGACGGCCGACTGGTTGAAAAAAAAAAATGTATGAAAGAGGGGGAAGGTACCTAGGGATTGGCAGAGAACGTATATAGTTCCTCTATATAAAGGGAAGGGGGACAAAAGAGATTGTAAAAATTATAGGGGAATACGTTTACTGAGTATACCAGGTAAAGTGTATGGTAGGGTTGTTATTGAAAGAATTAGATATAAGTCAAGAACAACATGACGTTCAATGGTGATAAGTTCCAGCTGCTTAGGTATGGAAAGAATGAAGAACTCAAAAGGAACACTATAACTAAAACTCAAGAGGGTCACCAAATAGAATGAAAGGAACACGTAAAAGACCTGGGAATAATTATGTCGGCTGACCTTTTTTATAAAGAAGAAAGAACAAGACAAAGTTCACAACAGCCTGAAGGATGATGGGGTGGGTACTGAGAACATTCAAAACAAGGGAAATAATGCTGATGGTGACACTCTTCAAATCGCTAGTGCTCCCTCACTTAGAATATTGCTCAGTGATGATGGCCCCATTCAAAGCAGGAGAAATACCAGAGCTGGAACAAATACAGAGATCGTTTATGGCTCACACTGAGCCAGTAAAGCACCTAAATTACTGGGAACACCTTCAAGTCTTGAACGTGTACTCATTGGAGCGGAGGAGAGAGCTACATTATAATATATACCTGGGAAGTACTTGAGGGCCTGGTCCCAAATTTGCACACTGCCATAACAACTTACTGGAGCGAGAGATATGGAAGGAAATGTAAAATAAACCCAGTGAGGAGCAGGGGTGTGGTGGGGACAATAAGGGAACACTCTATCAACATCTGGGGTCCCAGACTATTCAACATCCTACCAGAAGATATCAGAAACACGGCTGGAACAAGTGTAAAAGCCTTCAAGAGGAAACTGGACAAGTATCCTCACCAGGTGCCAGATCAACCAGGCTGTGATGGATATGTGGGGCAGCAGGCCTCCAGCAGCAACAGCCTGGTTGACCAGGCAAGTGCCAGACGAGCCTAGCCCATGGCCAGGCTCCAAGAGTAGTGAAACTCTCGAAACTCTTCAAGGGTATATCAAAGGTGCCTCCCCCCACTCTATCATCTGCTCTTCTTTTGTACTCTCTCACCACTCTCTTCACCTTTCTTTTACTCTCCATATACTCTGCTCTTCTTATAACACTTCTACTTTGTAAAAACCTCTCATAAACTACCTTTCTTCTTTTATCACACCCTTTACTTCATCATTCCACCAATCACTCCTCTTTCCTCCTGCACCCACCCTCCTATAGCCACAAACTTCTGCCCCACAAAAAACATCATCCATGGAGGCAAAGAAGGGAATGTACGAGAGTTTAGTGGTACCAACACTATATGGGAGTGAAGCATGGGTTGTAAATGCTGCAGCACAGAGATGGCTGGAGACAGTGGAGATGTCCTGTCTAAGGGCAACGTGTGCTGTAAATATTATGCAGAGAATTCGAAGTGTGGAAATTAGGAGGAGGTGTGGAGCTACTAAAAATATTAGTCAGAGGGCTGAAGAGGGGCTGATGAGGTGGTTTGGTCATTTTGAGAGAATGGAACCAAGTAGAATGACTTGAAGAATGCATAAATCTGTTGGGGAAGGAAGGAGGGGTAGGGGTCATCCCCAACAAGGATGGAAGGAGGGTTAAAGGAGGTTTTGTAGGTGAGGGACTTGGACTTCCAGCAAGTGAGCATGTTAGATAGGAGTGAATGGAGATGAATGGTTTTTGGGACCTGACGAGCTGTTGGAGTGTGAGCAAGGTAATATTTTGTGAAGGGATTCAGAGAAACCAGTTAGCCAGACTTGAGTCCTGGAAATGGGAAGTACAATTCCTGCACTTTAAAGGAGGGGTTTGGGATATTGGCAGTCTGAAGGTACATTTAGACAGTCATATCTGAGTGCCTCTGCAAAGACAGTGATTATGTACGAGTGATGGTGAAAGTGTTGAATGATGAAAGTTTTTCTTTCTTTTTGGGTTTTTCTTTCTTTCTGAGTCACCCTGCCTAGGTGGGAAATGGTTGACGTATTAAAAAAAAAATCTGTAAAACACTACTTGTGACCAAGTTCACAAAGATTTATACTACTTATTTTTTGTATGATTCAAATACAGAGAATCATTATAAAACCATTATAAATATCAATGTTTAGATTAAAGTGTCATAAACACTAACTGAATGACAAATGAGAAACTACTTTGACAGAAAAATAAAACTTGGGCAAAAAAAAATTCATACATTTAGGCCTCAGAGACCCTCTTGAACAGATATGGTCTCTTGAAAAGTGTCTCTGAGGCCAAAATATGAAGAGCTCTTCTCGCCCCTATTTTATTTTTCTAAGTAGTTTCTCTCTTTCATTTATTTATGAATTCAGACATACTCTTCTTCTCACCTTTAGTGTAGGAATTCGCTGAGTCAAATGCACTTCCTTTCCACTCTGATCAACAGTGCGTCCCTCTGCATCCAAGATCAGTGGTGTTGGCTTGCTCTGCTCTCCTAAAGGTTTGGGTGGTGATGCAACTGTAGTACCAAGTGCTGCTTCCATGTGTAGAGCTGACAACCCTAGAGCAGTGGCATTCCCCAGTTGTGCCTGGATGCGGGCCTGAAGCTCGGCAATACGTGAGGTTACGTCCCCGCCTCCACTTGATCCTAGCACTACTGCAGAGGCTTGGGATATTAAAGGCACAGCTGCAACATAAGATTCATTATCTCATATCTGCTGGAAAAAATGTTTCATATTTTCAAATGAATTTAAAAATTTAGAAAAAAAAAAAATTATTTCACAAAGAATTGTAATAAATCCTAAATAGTTACTAGTAAAAAAAAAAACTTCCCAGCTTCATCAGTAAAATACTAATACTAATTAATACCAATATGCTTCACTCTCACTATGTATTATATTTTTTATGCATTTTATTCATCCCAACTTTATTTACTAATTCTTTCTTCTTTCACAAACCGGCCGTATCCCACCAAAGCAGGGCGGCCCATTAAGAAAAACTAGTTTCTCTTTTTAACTTTAGTAATGTATACAAGAGAAGGGGGTTACTAGCCCCTTGCTCCAAGGATGTTAAGTCACCTCTTACGGCATGCATGGCTTACGGAGGAAGGATTCTGTTCCACTTCTCCACTTCTCCATGGAGATAAGAGGAAATAAACAAGAACAAGAACTAGTAAGAAAATATAATTAAACCCAGAGGGGTGTGTATATATAAGCCTGTATATGCAAATGTAGTGTGACCTAAGTGTAAGTAGAAGTAGCAAGACATACCTGAAATCTTGCATGTTTATGAGACAGAAAAAAAGACACCAGCAATCCTACCATCGTGTAAAACAATTACAGGTTTCTGCTTTACACTCACTTGGAAGTATGGTAGTACCTTCCTGGGCGGATGCTGTCTACCAGCCTACTACCTAGTATTTACTAATTCCCCCAGTTAAAAAAAATAAATGAAGAAACAAAATGAAAACAGAAAAAAATCCCTATTCAAAATATTCAGACACTTCTTGAAATTTATGTTCTTTCTTTCTTTCAACGTACCAGCCGTATCCCACCGAGGCAGGGTGGCCCAAAATGAAAAATGAAAGTTTCTCATTTTAAATTTAATAATATATACAGGAGAAGGGTTATTAGCCCCTTTCTCCCAGCATTTTAGTCGCCTCTTATGACACGCATGACTTACGGAGGAAGAATTCTGTTCCACTTTCCCATGGAGATAAGAGGAAATAAACAAGAACAAAAACCAGAAAGAAAATAGAAGAAAACCCAGAGGGGTGTGTATATATATGCTTGTATACATGTACGTGTAGTGCGACCTAAGTGTAAGTAGAAGTAGCAAGATGTACCTGAAATCTTGCATGTTTAAGAGACAGAAAAAAGGACACCAGCAATCCTACCATCATGTACAACAATTACAGGCTTTCATTTTACACTCACTTGGCAGGACGGTAGTACCTCCCTGGGTGGTTCCTGTCTACCAGCCTACTACCTAGTATTTACTAATTCTCCAGTTAAAAAAAAAATAAATGAAGAGAACAAAATGAAAACAGAAAAAAATCCCTATTCAAAATATTCAGATACTTTTCAAAATTTATGTATATTTTCTAAATTTGTGTGAATTCTCAAAATTAAATTAAGAATAAGATATTTTTATCAATGAACATAAAAGTACAGTAGTGCTCTTGCTATTTAACCTTTTCAGGGTCCAGAAGCCAAATCTCAGAGTGACAGCCAGGGTCCAAGAATTTAAAAAAAAAAAAAATTATTTTTTTTATGAAATGGTAGAGAATCTTTTTCTGAATGTAATAAATAAAAAAGTACGAAATTTGATAGAAAGTTGACGAATTTATGCTCTCACAAATTCTGATGTGTCAGTGATATATACGCATCGGCGATTTTGCCAATTTTGACTCCCATTATTCCAGTCGACCAAATTCTTAGCTATTTCGCTAGTACAGTGGACCCCCGCATACCGTTGGCCTCACATAACGTTAAATCCGCATACCGCTACATTTTATCGCCAAGATTTTGCCTCGCATACCGCTAAAAAACCCGCTCAACGCTGTTCGTCTGAGACGCGTCTATGTGCGGCCTGAGCCACGCTCACATGTTCCGCCGGTGGCATTGTTTACCAGCCAGCCTCCGCGGTAACATCCAAGCATACAATCGGAACATTTCGTATTATTACAGTGTTTTTGGTGATTTTATCTGCAAAATAAGTGACCATGGGCCCCAAGAAAGCTTCTAGTGCCAACCCTACAGCAATAAGGGTGAGAATTACTATAGAGATGAAGAAAAAGATCATTGATAAGTATGAAAGTGGAGTGCATGTCTCCGAGCTGGCCAGGTTGTATAATAAACCCCAATCAACCATCGCTACTATTGGTGGTACAGCTGCTGCACTGTCAGCTGCTGCTGCTGCTGCTGCTGTAGCACCGTCAGCTGCTGCTGCTGCTGCTGTAGTACCGTCTGCTGCTGCTGTAGCATCGTCTGCTGCTGCTGTAGCACTGTCAGCTGCTGCTGCTGTTGTACCACCGTCAGCTGCTGCTGCTGCTGCTGTAGTACCGTCTGCTGCTGCTGTAGCATCGTCTGCTGCTGCTGTAGCACTGTCAGCTGCTGCTGCTGCTGTACCACCGTCAGCTGCTGCTGCTGCAGTGTAGTACCGTCTGCTGCTGCTGTAGCATCGTCTGCTGCTGCTGCTGTAGCATCATCTGCTGCTGCTGTAGCATCGTCTGCTGCTGCTGTAGCACTGTCAGCTGCTGCTGCTGCTGCTGTAGCACCGTTGTTGGTGTGGCTTATTGGAGATACCAAGAAACAATTAACCCAGAGGGTTAGCCACCCAGGATAACCCAAAAAAGTCAGTGCCATCGAAGACTGTCTAACTTATTTCCATTGGGGTCCTTAAACTTGTCTCCCAGGATGCAACCCACACCAGTCGACTAACACCCAGGTGAACAGGGAAAAATGCCTGGAACTAGTGCTCATATTGGTGAATTTAAAGCCAGCAAAGGTTGGTTTGAGAGATTTAAGAATCATAGTGGCATACACAGTGTGATAAGGCCTGTTCTGGAAGAAAATGCCAAACAGGACCTACAGTACTCAGGAGGAAAAGGCACTCCCAGGACACAGTGTCTCATCAGTCATTGCTGCATCTTCAATAAAGGTAAGTGTCATTTATTCTTCATTTAGTAGAGTAGTACATGCACAATATATATTGTGCATGTACTACTCTACTATTGTGCATGTATCCTTCTCTTTGTGTGTAGGAAAATGTATATTTCATGTGGTAAAATTTTTTTTTCAGACTTTTGGGTGTCTTGCACGGATTAATTTGATATCCATTATTTCTTATGGGGAAAATTCATTCGCATAACGATAATTTCGCATAACAATGAGCTCTCTTGCACGGATTAATATCGCTATGCGGGGGTCCACTGTATTGCTTCTATTTTACTAAGCACAGGAAATCTCCCAGTCAACTGTTTCAACTACCTAATAAAGTGATTGAAAATTAGTAATTTGGCCAATTTAACACAAAGTTCAAAATACATGTATTCCAATTTCAAAAAAGGGTCCAGAATGAACAATGCGGGCATTCCTGGCACTAAACCAACATTTTCTCTGTTCATTAGTTACGTTTCCAGGCTTTACAAACGAATTTCATTTTGATTTTTTATTTACATAATGAATTTTTATTCACACCAAAAAATAGAAAATTTACTTTTATGCAATGTTGTAATAATTGTATAAATAATATCAGCATGTTTGTAAACGTATATTGGACCCAACAGCTGACGAGTATTAGACTTGTGACGTCATTTGTTTACTCTTGAATATCGGCAAAAATTTAACATTTCCACTACTTTGACCTCAGTTTCAAGCCATTTTCAATACTAAAACCAATCAAAATCATCTCTATTTGTAATATATCTTCCAGACTATCAAATGAGACCAAGAAATAACAAATACAATTGTAAAAAACATACGAAAAACACCGCAAAGTCACTGTTTTAATCCAAAATTACAGTCGCAGATTTTTTTTCTTTCATTATGTACTGTGTGCTGCAGGATTTGTTTTATGTGGTGCACACTTACCTCACAGATATCTCTCATATCTAGGCCCAAATTTACTGCTCACAGGTTATGAGTGAGCTGAGCTCATGGCATAGATCTACAGCTTGGACCCTGGCTTCAAAGCGGTAGATCTACGGGATGAACCCTGAAAGGGTTAAGAAAATATACAATATACTAAAGGTAGGTAGTTGGTCAGTATACAGCAACTGCCCAGGAAGGTACTACCGTCCTGCCAAGTGAGTGTAAAACAGAAGCCTGTAATTGTTTTATGTGATGGAAGGATTGCTAGTGTCTATTTTCTGTCTTATAAACATGAAAGATTTCAGGTACGTCTTGCTACTTCTACTTACACTTAGGTCAAACTACACTTACATGTACAAGCATATATATACACACCCCTCTGGGTTTTCTTCTATTTTCTTACTAGTTCCTGTTCTGGTTTATTTCCTATCTCCATGGGGAAGTGGAATAGAATTCTTCCTCCCTAAGCCATGTGTGTCATAAGAGGCAGCTAAAATGCTGGGAGCAATGGGCTAGTATCTCTTTCTCCTGTATATATATAAGGTAGGGGGTGTGTGGACCAGGTGTTTACAGTGAAACATATAATTATTTTTTTTATTATCACACTGGCCGATTCCCACCAAGGCAGGGTGGCCCGAAAAAGAAAAACTTTCACCATCATTCACTCCATCACTGTCTTGCCAGAAGGGTGCTTTACACTACAGTTTTTAAACTGCAACATTAACACCCCTCCTTCAGAGTGCAGGCACTGTACTTCCCATCTCCAGGACTCAAGTCCGGCCTGCCGGTTTCCCTGAACCCCTTCATAAATGTTACTTTGCTCACACTCCAACAGCACGTCAAGTACTAAAAACCATTTGTCTCCATTCACTCCTATCAAACACGCTCACGCATGCCTGCTGGAAGTCCAAGCCCCTCGCACACACAAACCTCCTTTACCCCCTCCCTCCAACCTTTCCTAGGCCGACCCCTACCCCGCCTTCCTTCCACTACAGACTGATACACTCTTGAAGTTATTCTCTTTCGCTCCATTCTCTCCACATGTCCGAACCACCTCAACAACCCTTCCTCAGCCCTCTGGACAACAGTTTTT